AAATAATAAACATATATTACAGAAATACAGCATAAATAAACATTTTTATGTAAAAACTTAATTTTTATTAAATCCAAAATATATTAAAAATATTATCGATGAGAACAGTTGGCACAATACGTTATTTATGAGGCGGACAATGGTCTCTTCCAAGTGCAAGGCGATGCAATGCGAGTCTAGAAGCAATATGCATACTGAAAAAAAATTCCAAATTGAGTCTAAAATATGAAATAAACATATGGAGTGTAGATCTAGTGCGAATTCGGAGTTAGAATTTCCTAATATGAGTATATTCGTGACTAAATTTAGATTGAAATGCAGATTCTGATTTAGGGAAATTTCCTGATTGGTTTATAGACTCACCAGAATTAGGCGCTTGAATGTAGACTTTTGGCCAACTCAGGTGTAGAGGTGTTTGTATATGCTTTAGAAAATAATATTGAGATACACACACACACTCACATATATTGTTGCATACATACATAAAAAAACACTATATATGACTGTACTCGTATCGCTGGTTTAGTTGCAATATGTAGATAAAATTACATAATAATAATACATTACATATATATGTGTACTATCTATGCCTATATAGATATATCCGATATTTGAGTTGAAATATAAGATGACAATTAGTTGCAAGATTGAAGAGAAGCAGAAAATAATGATACCAATACCGATAACGATAAAAATATCGATAACCAGCTTAACTAATTTCATATAGCTACAATTTTTTTTTTTTTGTATCCTGAACAATTAATAAATTCAAGTGCGAAATGTAAAAAAACGTATATTTATTAAAATAGTTTACCAAAAGCTACTTTAAACTAATTATAATTAATAAATACAGTATGCATACATACATCATTGAAAGCCGAACACACAAACAAGTTAAATTTCCTAGTACTTTGGGCACATACACACACACATAAGAAGTAGAAGAGCTGCAACATTAAAAAATAAAAATTTAATATTAATTTGAATTAAATAACAGCAACTTTACATACATATAGAGACACACATAAACCGTTATGTATACATGTATAACAAATGTAAAGCCAACAATATCCATGGTTAAATGCATAGACAAAAAGAACAAGAAAAAGGAAAGTTGTTAATAAATATAAATTGAATGAAATAATAATAATGATAATGATAATAATGATGATGATGATAAAAAGAATATGGGAGAACACTGAGCAAAATTACAAAAATGCTGAAACAGACAAAAACAAACGCAAAAACAAATATAAAAAAATAATAAAAATTAAAAAAAAAAAAACAGAAAAAAAAAACATATAAATGAATTCACCTTATTTTTCTTCATTTGATTTGTACATTTTATTCGTTCTTGTTGTTGCTAGTGGGTGTGTGTGGTTGGGTGGTTGACCACCTGGTCGGTCGGTCGGTTGGTTGGCATCTGGTTCCATGCCGTGCAGGCGCCCAATTTTGCATGCTTGTGAACATCCATATTTGCTCGTTCTTAATGCTCTTTCATTTTATCTTTCTCCTCTCTGTGTTACCTAACGTATTTTCATATAAGTATTTCCCGTTCCATAGTGTTTATCCTGTAATTGGCAGCTGTTAATAACAGCGTCGGCAACAAGAACAACAACAGCAATTTACAGCAATACATTTTGTCTACTTTTGTATTTTTTTTTTTTTTGCCAACGAATTTCACAGATTCACAGTCGAATAGCGCCTTGAACAGCAGCGGCAACGGCGACGCCGAGGCTAGCGCTGCAGGCGACGAGGGTGGTGGTGGTGGCAGCAGCAACGGCAGCGGCAGCGGTAATGGCGGCAACGACGCAGCAGCAGAGCCTGAACAGGCGGTGACCGCGTCAGCCGGCACATCGGGTTAGCGCCCTAGCAGCAGCAGCACAGGTAGCAGCGACGGTGACGGCGGCGTCAGCGGCTCTCTATTAATGTAAATGTTGTTTACAGTAAACTGTTATTAACATTTTTGTTCGGTAGCCTCTTATGAAAATTGGGGGTTTAAGTAAATTCAAAATTATTTAATTTTCAACTTCACACGCATACAATCATGCACACATGCACACACACACACGTGCATTGGTACATACATCCATGTAAGAGCTAATTCTGCAAAAATTATTCATTCAACACGCAAAGGATTTAATTAAATATTCATGAATATGTGCATACATACATAATACATGTATGGCTAGCAGAAGCACTGA